AAAAAAAAAAAAAAAAAAAAAAGCTGCAGGAGAGTCTAAAGAGCTAATATTCAATAACAAGTTCTCAGTTTGACAAGAAAGAATCCAATATTTCTGTGTAAACATAAGGGGTCCAGTCTAATCACAAGCGATGCATTAATCCAATAGGTAGCAGACAGAACAAGGCATCAAGGGGGACTCAGAAATCATCAACAGTTCTAGGGCTCCTCTGTCAAGGATGAAGGTCAGCAGTGCCCAGAACCACAGAGGGAGAACTGAAACCAACCCCAACGAGCAGCAAAGATAAATGGTCGGAGGGCTCTCCCTGACCTAGATGCCTAATACTTTCAGCACCAGAGCAGACTTCAAATACAATCTTGACTGTTACACCGATACAGCACATTAGTGACCAGAACTCTAAGGGACTTACCAAGACTTGGGGGCCCACAAAGCAACAGCAGAATAAACTCCCTCAATAAATACTGCTGGATATATTCATTAGGAGAAAAATGACATTCAAACACTGGAAAGACGGGGCTTCAAAAGGGTCTACTCTGAAGACACAGAAAGTACTTAAAAATATGATAGATCTGGCAGCAACTCAGAAGCACTACACTGTAGGATTCTCAGGTGGCTACAATGTATTTATGGACCTAAAAGGAGACAAGAGCCAGCAAACTACTTAACCACTTTCCTCCAGGTAGTGGGCAAAGGAGAAGAGGGAGGGGTCTCCAAGGGCCCATAGGAATTTCTCAAAGTCTCTACTCACTATGCAATCCCTCAGGACCCTGCATCCTGTTTGGCAAGCAGTATAACAATCGGCAAGTATATGTTAAATGCACAGGCATGATAATATTTATCCTCACAAAGTTTTTGGAACAAAATAACACAAATTAATGGATTTATGCAAAGTAGTTAGCACCATGGCCAGAGCATGGTATGAACTTAAAAAATGGCAGTGCATGTTAGAATTAATCATGCCTTCTATAGCCAGAACCTATATTCTCCTCGGCTGCCTCTGACTGTGCTCCCTAGTTCTAATACCAACCTGCAGAAATAATTCCAGGTTAAGTTCACTAGATTTTTGAATAATGCCCATGTCTTTAAATAAACAATAAAATAATGTATACATTCCTTTTCAGTTTACAAAGTGACTTCACATTCACACGCAATTCAGAAATGATTCATTACCGTTACCCATGTTTAGTAGACAAAAAATCTAAGACCACCCCACTAGCAAAGAGGCAGACTAGAACTACGACCAGAACTACAGATTTTAACATTTTATTATAATGGCCATTATTTTCTCAACCAGAAATTCAAACAAGTGACTTTATTATGGAATAAAATACTTGAACTCAGACTGTTCCAGAAATCAGCTCAGACGCTGCTTGGATCACCCTAACACTATAGCTGAAATCAGAAACAAAATCCTAAAAGAAGAGGTAGGAATTTTTGTAAACAAAGCCTGTACTCTGCACTTAATGCATTTATTCTTAATAGTTTCTCCAGTAGAGAAGAGGAATATGTCTTATTAGAGGCAGGCTGTTGTGAGTTTGAGCATTATCAGTACCATTTATTAGCCATGAGACCCTAGATGCGTCTTAACCCTAGTAAATTTCAATACCCTCATCTGTGTAATGGGAAAGCAATACCTACTCCTACCACTGTGCGAAGTTCCTGGCCCTGAGAAGGCAATCAGTAAATGAGAGCTATTCTAATAACTATGCCACGGTATCTACCATTTGGACTGTAGGGTAAGTGACCGCTCGGCTCCTTCCTGGCTTCTATAGGTCCTGCATACCTCCTGTTCTGCATCTGTTCAATGGGGACACAACCAGTCTCCATCTAACCTCACCAGGGAATGAAGATAACAAAAGAGCTGGCAGAGACATTATGCAAATACCAAATATTATTAAAACATTAATGAACTCTGGCAATTTCCCTGAATTTTGATAAATGGTGTTTATTATGCACTGCCAGCCTCTCACACAATCTGGGCTCTCAAATATTAACTAGATAATAACAGCAATCATTCTCCTAAAAGACCAAGGTGTAGAGAAATTAAGAGTGAGTCTAGATGGTTCCAGCCAACATCTGCCTCAAAGGAATCAGAATCTCTGTACAAACACAGAATGTCAGGAAGCTCACAGAGACCACAATGACCGCCAACAGGCTCAGATTAACCCCAAGGCCTATTAAGAACCCTGCTTTGATAGGACAATGGACTTTCTTGGTGCTGACAGGTCACTGATTATGACAACTACCTACCACCACTATACTCTTCTGCATAAAGTTGCCTCCAAACTAGACAGAACAAAAAGGGCCTGAGAAGGGGGCTAGGGTTCAGACTAACAATCTTATAGACAGAGAGAGGCTGTTCCCCCAGCTGCCTAAAACCAGAAGTAATGTTATCCACAGCTCCACTAAAGGGGCTTGCACCAAATTCCTCTACTGTTTCATTCTGTGTGAGGGGATAATGTTTTTAAACTGCTAACAATCCTCAGGTACAGCCAGCTCAGACAGAAGCAGAACAAAGCCAAGAGGAGTCACCCCCCCTCCAAAAAAAAACCTACCAGAAATAAGGGCCTGGTGCCACCCCAGTGACACCTTAACAAGCTGAGGGTCATTAAGACACCTCATTTGCATATTCATGAAAGACTCAAGGCTGTGTGGCAAGTGAAACAAAGTGCACAAAAAGAGATTTTGTTTTTTAAGCCAAGCGAAAATCCGCTTTAGAAAAAGTAAATCCACACGGGGACCCTGGCTGTCGCCAAACCTTCACTTGTCTAGAGCAGCCAGCACCTCATTAAAGGAAAGCAAGGAACTCACAAATGAATGCAGCACCACACACAGGCAAGCTCATTTGGCCATCTGCCTTCTAGTGTCCAGAGGGGCAAAAGGCTTAAATGACACTCTCCTGAATTTTCTCTCCTGCAGGTGGAAATAGCAAATTCCCAGGGGGGCAAGAAAGCCTTCCCTTGCAAGGTCAACTGGATAAAAAGGAATAGAAGGGAATTTAGCTTACCTGTCAACACAATGCCTCTGGTGACATTAAACACATGTATATATGAAGCACCCCAGAATCATTTACCCTTCACATCTGGGTGAAGGCTTTGCTAAATCAGTGTCTCTGCCATGGGGTTAGCAGAGAAGCTCCTAATGAGCAGGGTATAGTTAAACTTACCCCTCCCCACACCCACCCATTTTTTTGTTCCATGACTATCCTGAGTGATGGTGACCCAGCACCTTTCTCTAGAAAACAGTCTAGAGCAGGAGACATCGGAATTGATGCGGGGGCTGTAACAACACAATGGCAGACTTCCATTATTTATGTCAAAGAGAAAGGCCATGATTAAGCAGCTGAAATCACTGCCCTGAGCCTTCTCTGCATATCCCCACCCTCCTGACAATCACTGTACTTGTTTTCAGATCTGGAAGCTCACTCCCACCAGGTTAGGGAGTTGTTTAAAAAAGAAAAAAAGGAAAGAAATACATTTAATTCTTCTAAACAGTTGAATGGTCGAGTATCTCAATAGGGAGCTTTTCAACCTCCTACACAATTTAGGATCCGCTTGGGCAGCATGGAGCAAAGGGTGAAATCCAGCCCCAAGTTTCCACAGACTTTCTCCAACTTCCCAAAGCGTTACTATTACCAGCCCCCCACACGTTCAATATGTATTAGCCCCGACTTGGACTTGGGCTCTGGGAGCAAGAAAATGAGGGAATAAGGTACCCCATGATAGCACCAGCAACGACAGCCAGCCAGCTGACATCCAAGTAAATGGTAGCAGGAAGGCAAAAAGCGCTGTTTTCCTCAAGCCCTTTTTCAATAAGATTTTCCACGACCTGGGAAACTGGCTGAGGACGTATTTGTAGAGGGCACAGAGCCCCGTGTTAGGGCAGCGCCACACTCGAGTCCCAGTTCTGCGAAACGTTAACGGCCAGGCCACGTACTGCATGCCCCCAAGGTTGCACTGGTGGGGCTGCAAGCTACGTGGAAGGAAGCCCCCAACAGCGGACACTCACGCTATGTACCTCAGCAGTAATAATTCGAACGACAGGACACTTGAGGGGGGATTTGCTCTCCAGGTCGGCTTCATGATTCCCCTTTACACACCATCCGACTATCTGTTGAGGGACCTGTTAGGTGCCCGGCTTGAGGGTGGGAGTAGCGGCGTTATTCTAACCCCCGAGGTCTCCAGGATTCGAAACTAAGGGCGCCTCTCTGGGCCAGCGCAGGGAAATTACACAAAGAGGAGGGGGCTGGCGCTTCTTGGGGTCGGAGCTCAGAGCCTTGTCATTTACGAGCTGGGAGTGAGGAATTCCGACCTCTGCAAGAGCCCCGGAGAAGCACAGGAAATGCTTCCGAGCGCTTCAAAGGGAAGTCGATTTGCAAATCAAAGTTGCAGGAACTCCGGGCGCCCAGCCTACTCGAGCGGGTTACTAGGGAACACCCAACAAGTTTGGTCACCGGGGGCTTGGCATGACAGCGCCGCGCCGCAAGACTAGAGAAGCAACTTGTCGCTCGGGCGCGGAGCCAGAGCCCTGCGCGGTCTCCGCGCCCCAGGCTCTGGCCAGGACCCGAGAGTCGGCGTTCGGAAGGCGCAGGTCCGAACCTCCGGAGCCAAATCCCTTCATCGAAAGGCGCCTCGGGGTCTCACCTGGACCGCGCGGTTTCCAGGGGCTTCCCCCCAACAGGGCGAGGTTTCACCACCAACTCTTCACCTGCCTACGAGCCCCTGGCCGGTGAGAAATTAACAAAAGAGCCAGCGAACGGGGTTAGAAGGGAACCCGGCGCAAAGTATACTAAGGAAGGCAGCTCGGCTTGCGGCGAGAAAGAAGGGAAGAGCGGAACAGGGATGGGTTCTACCACAGGCACCCGGCTCCGGGAAGGAAAGCCAGAAGGAGAGAGAGTGCGAGAAAGGGGGAATGGGTTCTCTACCCCTCTTCTCATCACACACACACGCGCACACACACACACACGCACACACCTCCCCCTTTTTCCTGCTTACCCAGCATGGAAAAGATGAAATCCTTGGCTGTGTGAATCTCCAGCGCTCTCTGGTCGTCGTATTCCCGCTGGTCGTGCTTCGTAAATTCTTGGATGAGTTTGTTCAATTCCTCCACCCGAGCTCCCGACCTGAAATCCAGCTCCGGGAACGTTGGCTTGTTGTTACAGCCCAGGGACGCTGCCTTGCTGGCGGTGGGAGCCGCCATCTTCATGCAAAACGCGCCGAGTAGCAGCTCCGCGGCGGCGGCAGCACCCACCCCCGCCCCCCACCCCGCCCCCCCCGGGCCTCCTCCCCTTGCCGGCTCCCTGGCTGCGGCCCCGGCCCGTGGGCGGGCTGGCGGGCGGGCGTCTGGGCGGGCGGTCCCGGCTCCGTGCGCTCCGGGCGTCCGGGCTTCGGCAGCAGCTGACTGCAGCGAGGGTGCGTGTGTGGCCCCGACACCCTTCCCTGCGGCCCCACGCGGGCCCCGATGCTGCAGGTCCCTGCCCTCCCCTGGCCCCGGCTGGCAGAGGCGACCGTGGTCGTACAGCCAACCCGAGCCTCCCCCCGGAGCGAGGAAAGTGAAGTGGAAACAATGTGAAATTCACCAGCTCTGAAATCAACAAGCTGCCGGCTCCGGTGTTACGGAGCCAGCACCAGCGTCCCCATTTAAAGGGACAGCGCACCCAGTGGAAAGAAAAATAAATAAATGACAGAGGTCTGCGCGCCTATGCCACTTGCCAATCTGTACCAAGCAGACGTGCGAGTTGTGGGCTATTATTTCTCTACCTCCACCCCCTTTGGGGGCAGGGCTTGCCAAGCTCATTCAAGGAGGGGGGAGTCTTCCTCTGTCTGATTTTAAGGGCGGTGTTCTGAAGGAGGACATCTCATTGGGAGCATTTCCATCTCAAAATCCCTAATGCCTTTAGGTGGTGAAGGAAACTGCCTTAAGGAATAAATTAAGAAACCAATCTTCTGCCCTTTTCTGCACAGATTGAGAAACATGATAGAATTAAACGTATCCAAAAAGTGCCCCCACGTGCCATATAGACACTCCCATTAGCCACTACAGTATCCCTATCTTTGCCCTAGGTAATTAATTTTCCGGGATAACACCTTATTCAACTTAACATATAATGAGTTAATGAGGCACAGTCTGCTCTAATATGAAGATAGAAAAAGTAAATGGTTGGTGTGGGTGGGGGAAGGGGGGCAGAATGAATTACCCAAGGTTCCAATGAATGTTGAATGACGAGGTGAGGATTCTCTCAAGGAACGTACACCATTTGAGCACCCACCATTTGCCAGGCAGAGTGCCAGAATCTGGGTGGACAGTGATAAGACAAGGGACCTCTTACAATGGCATTGTAACTTACTTCACAAGGCAGGTTCCATGTAAGTCATAGTCCTTCAGGCAGAATAGAATCTCACAGAGGTTTTTAGTGTTTATGAGGTTTTAGACTCACTCTAAAGTCCTATTGGTTCTTGGAAACAGGTTGTCTTCCTAATTCTCTACAATCCATCTCCTCTGTTCCACAGTCCCTGATTCAGATAGGAAGGACCCTTTTCATTTTCTTACGAGTGTTCACTGCCAATGATACAAGCTCTTTGTTAGTCTGGGTTATGTCATACCTTTCCCTGTAAGATAGAGGTGGTAATTCCTATCTCAGAAGTCGTTTTAATGATTACATGAGATAAAGTTGGGCAAGCCCGTAGTGCAATGCCTGACATAATAGGCAATTAATTAAATGTTAGCTGCTATTACTGTTATTATAAACTTAATTCTTTCTCTTCTCCAACCTGTTCTCCATATTGTTGCCACAGTGATATTTATAAAACACAGATCTGGCCATTGACATTTCCCTGGAATTTCCCTCCTCCTTACTCTCTTCCCAACTTCACACCAAAGCCAATTCCATACCTGCATTTTCCTGAAAGCTTTCCCTAACCCTTCCCCCCTCAACCTGGTGGCAAAGTCTCTCTCCTTAGAATCTCCCTCACACCCTTTTGGAAACTTATGTGGCACTGATCAATTTTGGCCTTGCTTTTTCATGGTTGGTGCAAGTTTGAAACAATGAGATTCTTTAGGAGAAGGGCTATTACATGTTAACCATCTTTGTATTTCCCATAGCATTTAGCCCTGTACAAAGGTCCTCAAAGTTTATTCAATCAAGAAATGAGTGAAGAACTTTGGCAAAACCAGTTACTTTATTTTTGCTTTTGGTTTCCTTTTCTTTGAAACAAACTTTCTCACCCACTCAGTATTAAAGAAGTTACCTGACCAAATAGATGCTGGGTTTTGCGGGTCTGCTATATGGCCCTGACTTCTCATCTGAGAGGGTTATTACCATTACCTGGGCCGTGGTATACACTGTGCAAGTGATTGGAACTCCAACACAAATCGATCTGCTCCCATCTGTCAGTGCTTCTCTCATGATCAATGGTAAGCATCTGTAAGACAGCTGGCTGAGGCACAGTCATTCCATGGATCGGAAAGATCCTAGTTCACCCATGCAAGTAATAACCTCCAACCTACATGATAGCAGTTTGAAACAATTCAGGCAAAAAAAAAAAAAAGTCAAGACACTTTGTCTTTGTTGATTTCCAAAAGCATAAATAAGGCATTTGCTCTTCTCTTGTTTCTACCTTTTTTTGTGATACTTCTATTCACAGAGAGAAAACAGGTAGTTAGCAGAAATTGCTCTAATTGTGCCTTAGCCCTGGGCCTTGGATGTTTTGGGTGAGTGAGTCAATAAATGGTCTCTCTGTTCTTCTACATTGTCTGTTCTACTTTACATGAGCCAGATCCGTACTCTATGAATCATTGACCTTTAATGAGCCTATATATTTACAGAATGTCTTGAATAGAAAATGAAATATCTTTTATATGCTCTTATAGAACTCTGATAAGGTGGCATAAATATCTCTTGTCGAATTGGCAAAATAAGAAAGAGGATCAGGAACCATAATTTCCTGAATTGGTCTCTTGGGAGGCTTTTTAATCTTTGGACCCTAGTAAACTCATGAGCTCCTCAAGGGCAAATGCTGGGTCTCTCCAGCTTTGTAAACACTGCATTTGATACAGTTCCTGGCCCATGTTATGACCTTAATTAGTATGTTTGAATGAATGAGTGAATGAATGAATTAACAAATTAATTATCATTCCTCAAAGTCCAAGAAGTCAACATTTAGGTGGTTTTTGCTACCATTAAACATCTCAGTGTAAACTATCTATGGTTTCCCAACAATCACTTAAGAATTGTTATAAATACAGATATTTCTGCCAGAATTTAATTCAGTACTTCTATTTTCATGCCTTTTCTCCCCCTGTGTAAAAGAAAGGAAGGAAATGGGGGTGGGGGGAGTGAAGAGAGAGAGAATAATTATCAAAAGATATTACAGAGTGTCACAGTCCTGTAATAAAAGTGCCCATTTCCAGAATTTTGACAAATGACTCGGAAAAGGTCAATGGAGTCTGCCATCTAAACAAGCACCAAAGAGAGTCATTCCTTTACTTGCTCCCCTAGCATCAAACAGAGCAAAGAAACTCACTGCCTTTCCAAGCTGCTGTCCCACTAGAGGTGAAACTTGCCCCTCTACTTCCCCACTCCCAAATTTTATTAGCTTGTGAAAGAAGCATTCTGAATATTGCTTCTCTGGGGCTGTTTGTTTTTAAATTCAGCTCTAAAGTTCTGTGGCAAACTCTCAGCCATGAATAACTGGGCTGTTCAGAGCATGTATTAAAAATAGCAAGCTCCACATCCACATGATGGATTAACAAAATGTAATTTTAAACAAAGTTGCTCTGGTCTGATGGAGATTTAAATAGCAGCCCAGGCTACAAGATCTGGCCTTCTAGGGTGGTTAGATTGTCAATAAAAGCCTAACAAATAGAATTGGCCCAAGCTTCTTGGATTTGAAAATGGAGGCAGGAAAAAGAAAGACAAGCATCACAGACATGTGGGATGTTGATGGTAGAGAGACAAGGGATAAAATCCCATCTGTCATCTCCATTTCTTTTTGCAGGTAAGACAACTTGGCACAGAAGGGGAAAGCGGAGGTGCCTACGTAGAAAGTGCTGTTTCTAGCTCTCAAACTAACTTCAAATTTAGTAAATATTTATTATGTCTCCAGGCCACCAGAGGGGGCATGGAAAAAAATCCCCTGAAATTTGACCAGAATTAATAAAACAAAAAGACTAGCCCTCGGGCAAAATGCACTTATTGCTCTTAAAAGTTAAATCTCAGTAAACCAGGAATTGCTGATGCTTGAAATGGCTTGGCCACTGCTTTTCCCCCACCATCAGGACTAGCTGAGCAGAAATCCCTTGGTATCTCACAAAGGCTTTCACAGGCACGCAACCCAGTTGGGGTAATTTTACCTCTGGTGAGACCAGGGCCATGGAAATGTTAGTGAGGTCCCCAGAACAGTCTGGATAAACATTTGACCCAGTCTGTCCTTTCTATCAAGGTGAGCCCCCAAGTGAAGTGCACCCCGTGTGACGCATGCACCTGGTTCAGACAGCCCTGTTCCACCCTTGCCTTCAACCCTGTGACCAGTAGCCCTGAGGGCCTGGGGACTCTAGCTATAAAGAAACTGTAGCAGCGTAAATCTCTGCACCCAAATCTGTCCTTTTATTCTCTCTTGCAGCTCCTGCTGAACTCGGGAGCCAGATCTGTACGTGTGGAAAGAAAACGGAGCTAGGAACGGAGATAACAATATCTGATAACAGTTATTAACAATTGTCATTTCTTACAATGATAGAGCGCTTTACAGTTCAACATAGCACTTATCACAAAAAATCTGTTTATGGATCCTCACAACCTTCCACTAAAGCAGGTAAGTCAGGACTGTTATTATCATTCCAATTTTAGAGATAAGAAACTTGGGCTCAGAGAGAGGGTGATTTCGGTGAGGCCACCAGCTAGTAATTGTCTTTCTTCAGCTCTCTAGTTAGAAGTCATTTCCTGCAACTGGCTTTTCCCCAACATCTTCCACCTGCACGTGCCCAGGTCTAGGTCACGTGGGCTCTTTGCAGCCGCTCATTGCCTTTGGTTCCGTCACTATTTTTTCACAAACGCCATTAAAGCACCTGATAACTTGTCTCCCCCACAAAAATGTGTGCTATATGCGTGCAGTGGCTATGTCTACCTTGATCACAGATGCATTCCCAGTGCCCATCACTGGTGTTGGCACCTAGTAGGTGTTCAACAAATGTTTGATGAATGAAAGAGG